TGACTCGCAGTTCTCCTTACTTGAGTGCCAACTTTAACCCTGCAATCATGCCGTCATATTAGGCCTCGTTGTTAGTCATGTCAGGGCATCGTATAGACTGGCGAACCCTTTCTCCTGTTGGGACCTCGAGCATGAGTCCTAGTCGAAATCCTGATGCGTTAGAAGCGCCAATCGGTGTACAAAACCCATTGATCGTGTATTTAGGTGGAAGTACTGGTGTTTTCCCTTTCGACTTCGAACATTATCTTCGCAATGAAGTCCGCGACAAAGTCGACAAGAACTTGCGACTGTATCGCTGTTCGCGGCTGATAGGTTATGTCGTGCTCGCTCAGCTCTATGGCCTACTTGGCCAATCTGCCCGACAATTCAGGTTTGTGCTGGATACTCCTTGAAGGGAAAGTCGTGACTGCCGAGATGGGGTGGCACTGGAAATAACGTCTAAGCTTTCGTGAAGCTATGACCATGGCAAGAGCTAACTTCTCGAGGTGGGGTACCTCACTTTAGCGTCGACCAAAGTTTTGCTAATGTAATAGATTGGAGATTGCGTACCTTTATCCTCTCGTACCAGGACTGCACTTACTGCGACATCGGACATGGCGAGGTAGACAAGGAGGCGCTCTCCGGGTTCTGCCTTAGCTGTGAAACGGTGGCGAAGACAGGTAGGACTTTAGTTATTTTAAGGCGTTGATGCACTCGGAATTCCATTGGAGTCCGTTATCCTTTTTGAGTACACCAAAAAATTTTTGGCACCTATCGGAGGACTGCGAGATAAATCTTGATAGGGAGGCTATCCGGCCGGTCAGCTTCTACACTTGCTTTTTGCTGGTTAGATTTGCTGGGATTCCTTCTATAGCCTTGATTTGGTCGGGATTGACCTTGATGCCTCATTGTGATACCAAGAAGCCGAGGAATTTTCCAGATGTCACGCCGAAAGCACATTTTTTGGGGTTTAATTTCATGCCGTATCTTCTGAGTATGTCGAAGGCTTCCCTCAGGCGGTCGATATGGCCTTCCTTTCTTTTTGACTTGACCAACATGTCATCTATATATACTTCCATGGTCTTTCCGAGTTGATCTTTGAACATTTTGGTCGCTAGCCTCTAGTACGTTGCCCCCGCATTTTTTTAACCCGAACGACATCACCCTGTAGCAGTACGTCCCCTGGTGGGTAATAAAGGTGGTTTTTTCCCGGTCCTCCTCCTCCATGAGGATTTGATTGTAGCCCAAGTAGGCTTCCAAGAAGCTCAGCAGTTCGTGCCCGGCTATAGTGTCGATAAGTTGGTCGATGTGGGGCAGCGGGAACGAGTCATTTGGGCGAGCTTTGTTTAGATCTGTGAAGTCTACGCACATCCGCCACTTACCATTTTTCTTTTTCACCATGACCACATTAGCGACCCACTGAGGGTTTCTTCGATTCTCTGATAGAACCGTTCACTAACAGTTTTTCGACTTCCTCACGAGTCGCGTCATTTATTGTAGAGTTGAACTTTTGCCGAATCTCCTTTACTGGGGGTAAAATGGGTCGACGTTCAACTTGTGAGTGGCTATCTCTTTCGGGATACCTGAAGTGTCTGCATGGGAAAAAACAAATAGGTCTACGTTACTTTTTAAGAATTGGTGAAATTTACCTGGATCTTGGAGCTTATGGCTAATGAAAGCTTTCTTGCTGTGGCAGTTGTCGTCTAATTGGACAGGGTCGAGGTCCTCTATGGTTGACCATGTGGCTTCTATGATTTCAGGGTCTCTAATGACGTCTTTCCTTTCATCGCCCCCTGACCCCGACTTTGTTAATTGCTATGCTTTCTCGGCCTTTCCTTTCAATTGTTGGGTGTATGTGCAGTCTTGGATGATGCGGTAGCATTGTGGGCCGTGCATTGCTCTCCCCGTATGTAGAATACTCCCTAGGGGGTGGGATGATTTGGTATAAGCTGGAGGGGAAGGCTTTCATGGCGTGTAACACGGTCGGCCTATGATGGAATTGTACGCCGTATCCTGGTTCATGATGTGGAACGTGGTCTCCAAAGTGGCCTCGCCGGCCAGGACGTGCAGTGTGATTTCTACAGATGTCCGCTCAACTGCATTGTTAAAACCTGTTAGCGTGATGCAACGGGGTACTATCTTGTCCTCGAGCTTCATTTGGGTGAGAACTCGAGGATGGATGATGCACGTGCCGCTTCCATCATCGACCATAATACGTCTTACATCAATATCAAGAACACGTAAAGTGATGACAAGGGCGTCATAGTAAGGGAATACCAAACCGTGGGTATCTGACTTATTGAAGATGATACTCTCTTAGAGTTCGTGATACCGTTTGTGGGTGATCGACCGTTTGAGTTTGTGACTGGTGGTGAATTTCACGCTGTTGAAAGATGCATCGTCGCCTCCTCCGATGATCATTTGAATGGTCTGAACTGAGGAAGGTGGTTTGGGCGGCCCCTGGTGTTGTTCTCTCCCTCGGGCGAGGTTGGCTCTCCCACGATCGCTCATCAGCTCTTTCAGGTGCCCTTGGTGAAGCATATTCACGACCTCCTATCTAAGGGCTATGCAGTCCTCGGTTCTATGACCTTGTTCCTGGTGGAATGCGCAGAGGGCATTTGACTTTCCGGTACTTGGGTCGGATTTCATATTTTGTGGCCATTTTACCTTTGGGCCGAGCTTCTCCAAAGCGTAGACTATTTCTGAGGGGGAAACACAAAAATTGTGAGCTGATAATAAGGGGGCATACCTCTTTCATTTTGGTAAATTCCCTTTCGTGGCCTGGATGGGCCTTCATCGTGGCATGGAGGCGGCATGAGGGTGCCTCTGACATAAGGCTGATGTCTTTCTCGATTAGGTCGGGATCCTGCTAGATCCCTCATGCTGTCGTTTCTCCGATCTTTCCTAGACTCTATTTGGACCGAGGTCAGACGTTGGGTGGGTCCGTTGAGATCGTCCTCGTCAGCTCTTACCTCGGCAAAGTAGGCGTTGTGTATCTCATCCCAAGTGGTTGAAGGGTATTTCATGAGTCGGCTCAGTAACTTTTTGGTTGCCCGTGATCCACTTCTACTTAGCCCGTTGTGGAAAGAGGCCACCGCCATTCCTTCAGATACATTCAGAAGGGTCATTCTTACATAGTTGAACCAGGTGAGGAAGTCCCTGAGCCCTTCGCCAGGCGATTGCTTAATGGCAAATATGTCGTTCACCCTCGCCTCTGCTTTTTTGGCCCCGGCATGGGCGGTGACGAACTTGTCTGCCATTTCCTCGAACGTTTCTATGGAGCACACAGGTAACTATGAGTACCAAGTCAGGGTTCCGTTGGTTAGGGTCTCTCCAAACTTCTTCAGCAATATGGATGATACTTGTTCTTTTGCGAGGTCGTTGCCTTTCACTGCAGTGACATAGTGGGTCACATGATTCTTCGTGTCCGTCGTGCCGTCATATATTTTCAAGTATGGTGGCATTTTGAAGGTTTTTGGTATGGCTTGTGGTGCAGCCTCGTCGCTATATGGTTGCTCGACAAACCGACCAACGTCTCTTTTTGGCAGAAGTTTTGTGGCACCTGGTATTTTGTCTACCCTTTCTTGGTGCTCTTTCATTTGGCTACGGAGCATTTTGTTCTCGTTCTCCATCTCCTCCATTTTTCTCAAGATGCCTGTGATGGTGTTATTACCTGCATCATTAACATTATGAGTAATACCTGATGCGGGGGGAACGTGCTGTTCTTCAGCTGTTGATGCGACACCAGCTCTTGTTTCTTCCCTATTCGACCTTCGAGCGGGCTTGTCTAGGAAGCCGGTTAGCGATTTTTCAAGCATGCCTCAAGTAACTTTTACACTGCTGGTGGTGCCTTTTCTGCCATGGACGTAGAGGCGCCTTTTCCGTGCGAGGTCGTAACGCTGTCGGGAGGTGGAGGCTAGTTGTTTCGCCTGGGAGAGGTATTTGGTGTTATGTGTTCACCCTCCTCCTCGTCTGCTTCGTTAATGGTGTTGAGGAGATTGGCGGTGAGATCGGCTATCGCCTTTCTCTTTTCCTGTCCATTGCCTGCCATGTCAGATTTGTGCCAATGTTACTTCTTAAGCATGACCTCGGCCTAATTGACTCAATTGCCATCTCTAAGGCGAGGTCCCCTTGATTAGATTTTGACCCATACAATAACAACATTTGGAATACGAATTAAGCGTATTAATTGACATGGACTAAAAAAAGTTAGATGAAAAAACTAATCCCCGTATTAGTAAATAGGGGCGGGCAGAGTTTGGGCAAACCCAAAATCCAAATTAAATCCAATTTGGTTTGGACTTTCGGATTATGCATTAGATTTTGAATTTGATTTTTAAAATTTTGAATTTCGGATTGGATATTGGATTCGGTACTTTGGATTTTTTGGATATCAGAAAATCCAGAATTTTATACTTTATATGTAGTCTATTATCTATATGCCAGTAGTAATAAGTTCAATACCCTACCACATTAGATATTATCTCATATATTCAATATTAATTACTAAGTTACTGCCAAAATACATTCTATTTGGATTTGGTTTTACTGTTGCTACTTCTTATCAGCCATACTAATGCCTCTATTGTATTTCATTGATAATAATTTCATTACTTGAATACTTTATTTTGATGATTGCGGTGAGAAGAAGGTACTTTTCAAGCAATTTAACATGAGTACTTTATTTGAATATTCTGTTTTATAAAAAGAAGAAACATCTCAACTTATAAGCTCAAAACCGAAAATCCAAAATATCCAAACAGATTAATCCGAAACAGAACTCAAAAAGTTCAATCCAATCTAAGCTTATTTGAATTGGATATGAATTGTCATTTCTTCAATCCAAAATAAAAAAATTCAAATCAAAATTTTCATATTCTATCCGAACGCCCACCCGTATAATAGTAAATCAGCTTTTATTTTGTTTACCATATATTTATATTCGTTTGACATGCATTTTTCAAAGAATTTATAACTTAAAGATTATCACAAACGAAACCTTGGAATTGTATACAATTACAATGATATGGAAGAAATATGTGTACAGTTACAATGATTCACTTCTAAAATGTTCTCCCGCTCTTTCTGTTCTTTCAGTTTTAAATAACACTGCAAATCCAGTTCTCATAAAACTTCATCATCTTCAATTTTATGCCCATTATTCTTCCTCGCATTCAGTTCCACTATCCCAAATCAACGTTGAAGTAATTCATGCCAATAAAATCAAAGATGGTTCGGTCCAAAACTCCTCTAGCAGTAACTATTTATTGAATCTTTACACAAAAAGTTACCATTTAGCCTCTGCACAGAAACTGTTTGATGAAATTCCTCAAAGGGATGTTCGAACGTGGACGATACTCATTTCGGGTTCTGCTCAATATGGGTGTTACAGAAATGCATTATGGTTGTTTATTAAGATGCAAAAAGAGGGCAGTGTTATTCCCAATGAGTTCACTTTATCTAGTGTCTTGAAGTGTTGTTCTAGTGTTAGTAACGGGCTTAGATTGGGCAAGTCTATACATGGGTGGATGCTTACTGCTGCAGTGTATTTGGATGTTGCTTTGGAGAATGCTGTACTTGATCTTTATGTCAAATGTGAGGCTTTGGATTATGCGAAACGGTTCTTTGAATTGATGGATGATAAAAATGCGGTATCTTGGAATATAATGCTGGCAGGATATTTGAGTATAGGAGATATGGAGAAGAGTGTAAAGCTTTTTAAAAAGATGCCTGAAAAGGATGTTTCGAGTTGGAATACAATCATTGATGGGCTTATGCGACGTGGGTATGAAAAGGATGCCCTTGAGCTCCTACACCAAATGACCTCATGTGGGCCTTCATTTAATGAAGTTACGTTTTCTATATCATTTGCATTGATGTCTTCGCTTAGAAATCCCGAATTAGGGAGGCAACTCCACGGTAAAGTGTGGAGGTTGTCGATATATGAAGACGCGCTTTTAAGGGCCTCACTAATTGATATGTATTGCAAATGTGGTCAAATGGAGAAGGCTTCTAGGATATTCCAGGAGTTACGCCAAGTTGTTGCCGAAGTACAACATTCACATTCTGTTCCATGGAGTACAATTGTTTCAGGTTATATTCACAATGGAATGCTGAAAGATGCTTTGGAAATTTTTAGCTCAATGGTGCGTGATCAATTGGAAGTTGATGTGTTTACACTATCAAGCATTCTTAGTGCTTGTGCAATTAGTGAGCTTTTGGAACTTGGGCAGCAGATTCACGGCTATGTCCAAAAACTTGGACACATATGGGACATATTTTTGATTTCAGCAATTATTGACATGTATGCCAAATGCGGAAAGTTAAATTCTGCTTGGTTGTCTTTTGAGCAAACCCAATCTCGGAATATCGTGGTGTGGACGACTATGATAAACAGTTATGCAATACATGGAAAAGGAGCAGAGGCTGTTCAGCTTTTTGAGCTTATGTTGAATCAGAGGATTGCACCAAATGAAGTAAGTTTTGTTAGCGTCTTAACTGCATGTAGTCATGCAGGTTTGGTGAAAGACGGGTGCAAGTATTTTAGGTTGATGAAACAAGTTTATGGCATCAAGCCTTCTGTCGAACATTTCACTTGTATGGTTGATCTTTTTGGCCGAGCAGGCTGTTTAGAGGAGGCTTATGATTTCATTCATGAGAATAGAATCTCTAACATGACCCAAGTTTGGAAGGTACTCTTATCTTCTTGCTTGGTTCACAAAAACGTAAAGATGGCAAGGCGTGCTTCTGAGAAATTGCTACAACTTCAGCCAAGTGAAGACAGTCCTTACATTCTGTTGTCAAATACTTGTTCAGACTATGACAATTGGGATGAAGCATCGAAAATAAGGGTCTTGATGAAGGAAAGGAAAGTTATGAAACTCCCAGGTCAATCATGGACTTAGTTGAAATATGAAATCCGGAATGAAAAAAATCAGATTATTGAAACAAGCTGCCGTGCAACTGAAGGACACCCACCTTTGAGAATGACATAAATTTGGGAATGCAGGAAGCCGAAGAAAGAGAGGAGCAGACACATCTTTGTACAACTTTTAATCACTAGATGTTTCATTTTCTGAGCCTTTACCCAGTTTCCAACCTAATTTCTGGTGCCATATGTTTGATGCGTACTTTACAGTTCGAAGGCTGATGTATTGCTCCTGACACATACAGAGATTACCAGTAAATCAAGCTGGTGATGGTTAAGGAACATGAACTCAAATCTTTTTGGATATTTCTTGGTTTGATATATGGTTGATCATGTCATCATTTATCTTTTTGAGAGGTCAAGAACAATAATTTGGTCAGATATGCCTTTGTGAAATAACTACTGATGGTTTGCCTCAGATTGTCTAACCTGACTTCAATTGGCACTCAAAATTTAATCAGAGGTAAATGCATTAGAAATAGAATGAATTTTTTCTACCTTATGCTTTCTATTTAAGCTGTTGTGTCTTTACATCCCTGATAGTTGTATTTGTGGGATCTTTAACTGTTTAGCTGGTGTATTGAGTTGGTATCAGAGTGTCTTTTGCTATTCTTAGTTTTCAACAGTAAAACATGCCCTTTTCTTGGGTGCGTTTGTTGATTTATATTAGACTTCACCTGTTCACCAATGATATTCAGGAACCATATTTCTCCAGCTCATTGGGTCCGCTTAATTCCAGGTAATAATCTCTGCTTTCTCCAGCTCATTGGAAATTCCATGTTCCAAATACATATATGTATAGCTCTTCAGGAACTGTAGCTTCTTGATGATGAATTGTTTTTTCTCCTTTCACTACCAGTTGATAGTGTCAAGGAAGAATGCTCGTGACGATTTACATTGAGGCCCAAGGGTTTGGAATTCACAATTATGTGCAGTAAGTCATTTCTATAAAATCTATGCTTACTTCTAATTTCTCTTCAGAAATATCTTATGCTGCTGTATGAAGATGTTAATATATTTCTGCCTTGCATTTTATTTGATGTCTTCATTAACATTTCGTGTAAACAGAGTCCAAAGTTGTGACTTTACTTGTACAAGACTTCAACAATTTGTTTATCATAGGCTCCTCAAAACTGAACGAACGATGTGGTAGTTATGGTGCCGCGATTTCACTAATTAAGGTTGACCCCCAGGACATTTGTTCAGTGATAGGAGTGCAGTGCGTGATGCATGGGGTCAATGTAACAGCCCAGCCCGCTAGTGATATTGTCCGCTCTGGGCCTAGGCCCTCACGGGTTTAAAACGCGTCACTAGGGTCTAAGGCCTGTTTACTTATATACCCAGCATCTCTCCCGCGTTTTGTCGATGTGGGATTTGCCTAGGATGTCACAGTCAAGCACTTGTCATGGATTTTGAACTCGACTCTGGTACTTAAATGTAGAATGGTAGAGGGGGGAGAGGGCACGTCATCCACCGAGTTCTGAATTATGTGCCAGTTGGTCCTCGAGAATTTTTCGGTTATTAAAAAAATATCACTGATTAGGGTACCTCACTTCAAGTGTCATCATTGAAACTCTTCCAAACCCTATTGCAAATGATTCAATTAGGTAGGCCATATTTTTCTTCTTTACTTGATTCTTGATTGGTGATCAACTTTGGATGACTTGTAGTTTAGGGCAAATCAATGTAGGGTACAGTATATTCAATTCACTTTGCTTTAGATTTGCTAGAAGTAGGTCATCTCATTAAAGTTTGAAATGCTTATTCTGAGAATTTATCATACACCCAAAAAAGTAGGTACACAGCTATAAATGTTACATTCTTTTTGCACATTTGGACAATAAACGCGTCCCTTTTACCAAAATTTTATTCTCCAATTATTCTGCATCATTCATTTTTATTCAGGTATATCTTTTTTGCTCCTTTAATTTTATTTAGGTTGAATTTGTTCGTGGGTGATCTGAAGAATATTAAGTTCATTTATTAAAGAATTCTAAGTACTTAAACGTCTCATTTATGAGTTGTGACTGTGAACTAGTCACTCACATTAAAAGATTGTTTTGAGGATTCAAGAAAGAGATAGAACACTTGTAATGTCCAAAAATTAGCAGCTTAGCCAATACAGTAGTAATTGCATCTAATAAGAAATTATGGATCCAAAATCATCTACATTAAAAAAGTTCCATTTTTGCTTGTTATACACTTAATAGAGTTGGAGTCCAATTGAAGTAAATACTCGATCATGTTTCACTGGAAATGAAAAGAAGGAAAAGGAGAAGAATTTTGGTAAGTAGTGCATTGGGGACTAGTGTTTGGTATCTTCCAACTAAAACAAATGGTGACTTCTCCTCTAAGTGTGACAAGCAAATTAAAAAGAAGACCCCACAATGCACTACGACCCAACATATGAAGGTCTGACAAAACAAAGATACAGATCTGAATGTACAGTTGAGATTTCTTCTTTAGCACTTCTTCCATCCCAATTTACGTGACGGTGTTCAGATTTTAAAAGTCAAATGAATTAATCTTTGAATACAACTTTCTTATATGCCTTTTGAATATTTTGAATTATTAATTATAGTGACTTAGATACTTTTGACATAATTTCGAAATATATAAATTTTCTAATTTGGAAAAACTTAAGGATTGTATATGTCTGGCACACGGTCAAAATTAAGAGGTTTGACTCTCGAAAAACAAAAAGTGTCACATAAATTGAGACAGAACGAGGAGTATATATGTGCATTATGTATGATTTGAACATTCATGTTTAACTTAAGATTTGATATTGACTATACACGTAGTATTATTATTATTTGGAGTAATATAACTTAACAATAAAGGCAAAAGACAGCAACTACTATAACAAACCCATCCCAACTCTCTCAACCTTATAATTCCAACTACCATTTTCTTCTCCCTCCTTTCACCACAAAGGAACAAGAATATCTACATTTTTGTGTGTGTTGTTAGTTTGTTTGATCAGAATGAGGGATAGAATGGAAAAATTTGTACTTCTTCCATTTTCTATGGGTTGCATCTCTGAATCAAGTGTTGCAATTGGTCAACTTCATCATAAAAGATCAAGCCCTCGTGAAACCAACTTAACTCCCACAAGTCTCTTTTGCTCTTTCTTTCTCTTAATTCTTCCCTCTCCCTTACACTACACACACCTCATTAACACTTATTTGTAGGAGTTATAATTTCTATACTGACAATGTAACATAATTTTTACACTACTAGATCAAGATAACATACAAGTGGTTGTCCAATAAAAATATGAATATTAACATGAAAATAAGACAAGTTACTAACCTTGGCGTAACTGGTAAAGTTGCTGCTATGTGACCAGCACGTCACGGGTTCGAGCCGTAGAAACAGCCTCTTGCAGAAATGCAGGGTAAGGCTGCGTACATTATATACCCTTGTGGTCCGGCCCTTCCCTGGACCCCGCACATAGCAGGAGCTTAGTGCAACGGGCTGCCCTTTTAGTAGCTACAACAAAATGTAAATATTCTTTAGACTGTCAGTATATACAAGTTAAATTCTTTATATAGAATGGCTATGTTGGTGTTAATACTTTCCATAATGCAGGGAGCCAAGAAGAAGGAAAAGAGGATGAGGAGGAGGAACAAGAAGAAGGAGAGGATGATGACAGAATGTCAAGTTTGAAGGGTCCTAATTTAAGCCTTATGGCACTTCCCAAGTTTCAGAGGCTTTTCAAGAATTTCAAGAACTTGTCCCACTTATTTGGTGAGTCTCCACATTTTACCATATATGTTAAATCTCTTATTCTTGTTTGAACAACTTTTGGTGGTAATCACTTACTAGGGAATTCAAATGCTTGAAATGAATTAAAAGAAGTTTTCTTGTACTTCAATGGAAAGCAAGGAAGGTACATAAATTTATAACTAAGCAAGTTTCCTGGTTGCATTCTGTTGCATTGAATTAGTTTGTTACTCAGGATAAAACTTTCTCTCTCTCTCTCTATATATCTATATATATATATTTTCCTACAATAGTAAGTGGGAAATAAGTAAAAATCTTAACTTTTGAATAGATTGGGATATATTTCTTTCCCTTTCTCTAAAGTCAAGACTACACAGCTAGGGAAATTCTGATATATTAACCATTTCTGTCTCATACAATTTCATTTCCCACCTCCAACCTAACACCACTCAGACAAGTTAATTTTGCATATTATCACTAAATTTTATTCAACATGACAGTAAAAAAAAGGCAGCCCAGTGCACTAGGTATCTCGTGTTTACGCAAGTCCAGAAGAGGACCGCATCTCAAGGGGTGTGATGTAGAAAACCTATCGTAATGCAAACATTAGTGAATACTTCCACAGTTCGGACCCATATGACATATAAGTCACACAAAGACAGTAAAATTACAAAATTATTTCTGTAATTGAATACTTAACTAACTATAATAAGGTTATGTAATATTTGCAGTGGATAAGGATGAAATGAAGAATGAGGAGATCATTGGGATGGAAATAGGAGTTCCAACAGATGTGAAGCATGTGACTCACATAGGAATAGATGGTGCCTCTACTTCAATCCTTTCTAGGAGTTGGGAACATCTCAAAACCCCTGATTTCCTTACTCTCTCTTCTTAATTAAAACATTATTATATTTTCTGATTTTTCCACTGTCAAATGAATCAATTTGCAAGAAGGAAATGTTAAGTGTCTTTAGTGCCAACATATATGTGTATTAAGGCTTTGGGATTATTCCCAAAAATTTGTTGTTTGTACAGTGATGGCTTCTTAATTGTCTTCTTATGTGTGAGGTGTGGGAAAAACATCCAAATCTAAAGGTATTGATCAGATCTACTCTCCCCGTCCATATTTATGTGAATATATTCTGATTTCGAGAATCAAACGAATCCTTATATGACCGTGATTCTTTCATGTATCTTTTAAATATTTTGAATTATTAATTATTGTGACTTATATTACTTTTTACTTAATTTCTTAATATGTTAATTTTATCTCAGATTCTATGCTTAAATTCATGGTGAAAATTAAATAATTTGAATCTCGATAAACGAAAAGTGACATAAATTGGGATGGAGGGAGTATCATTCTTTGAGTACTCTTATTATTAATTATTATGACTTATAGTATTTTTGACGTAGTCTCTTAGTATGTTAATTTTATCTTGAAATAAAGATTTTTATGTCCAAATTCACGATCAAAACTAAAAAATTTGAATCTCGATAAACGAAAAGTGTCGCATAAATTGGAACGGAGGGAGTATCATTCTTTGAAAATAAATAGTAAGAAAAATGAAACCCAAGTGCAATGAAGAGAAATAACAAATTTAAAACGTACCAAGGAGGATGGAAAACATTCATTGTCCTCTTATTTATAAGTGTGATGATTTACTCATTGCATTCAGAAACAAATAACAAAATTATTTCATGACTACCCTATTTAAATAAATAAAAAATTTGAAGGAATTTCATTCTGCATGTACAAAAGGCTGGCCAATGTGTTAGGGAATAGTCGACCAAGAATTTGAGATTTTTGTCACCCAAAACTAGAAGTCGTCCTCTTTCTTTGGTTGCCTCAACTCTTCATTCCCCTTACAACAAACATGGATTTCTAGTCAAATTTTTTTCCCCCCCCTTTTTTTTTTGGGTTTATGCTATCTTCAATCTAACTCAGAATATTAAGCCCTACATGAGTTAGGAGCAAGAAAAGTTATTCTGAAATCATACATAAGAATATCAATGTTTATACGGAATAAGGTTTTGGTAGAGGCATGTCCTTGATTATGCCACACAAGATATCATTGTCAGGCATATTGTATTCATCTTTCAAATCTCTTTTTGGAGAGAGGACACTGAAGTAAAGCTGTTGTCCTAAGTATTGCCTTTCAAGAGAGTTTGACCTTAAGTTCCAAAGGCCAGCATTGTCAATAGTAGTCATAATTGCTGCCCATGAATTAGGATAAACTTGGATGGTATTCCTTGACACTGCATCAAGCAAGTTGTAGTTCTTCCTCTTCTCTGGTGTCCATTTCCCTGGTTCATTCCTACATATATACACCATGTCATTTCATTAAAATCCAGAGACATATCGAGGATTTAAACTTGGTAAATTCAAGATTAATTTAACGTTCTTAGTTCTTGAACCATTGTACTATATACACATAGATATTAATTTTCATAGATATACACACACACATATATATATGCTACGCGTCAAATACTGTAAACTACATCCATCACTAACAAATAGTGACAGATGCAATTTTAGGGATGTGTAATGCATAAGTTATAGGTTCATCCAAACCTAACAACTTTGACTTTAACTCTGTATATGTGTTAAAAAGTTCACTAAACCCAATAAATTATGTGGGTTCTAGTTGAGTTTTAACTCGAGTCTGTAATGTTCGAATTTTAGATCCGTTTATGTTAGGGATGGATAATTTTTTTATTTAGACCATAAATATATTCGTGAAAACCTCTAAAAATTAAATATTATATTCTGATCTCATATTTTCGAAGAATTCGAAACCTTGAACCTATTTAAATCAAATCCTGAATTTGCCTCTAGTAAAGTTAGTAGTGTAGAGGGGGCAAATATAGCATTCTTGAGTAGGAGTAGAGGTTTGGACAAAAGATACTTACGCAACAGCAAAGAAAGAGTATCCAGCCAAGTGAAAAGATTGAACACTCTTCTCGTGGTTCTCAAAGATGATCTCCACAAAGTTGCGGTAAGTGCCATTCACTACATTTGGTGCAAGTGTAATCTTCTCTTCTGTTTTAGCAGTTGGAGCTTCATAATCATCCTTAATAAGATCATACTTGAAAACCTTGTCAGCAACACCGTAGTACTCAGCCAACTTAATTGGAGTCTCAGGATTCACATGTGAAACACCGTTGATTGCATATCGAAGCTTTCCGTCCACTGATCCCACCGTGTTCACTAGTTTTATGGTACGCGTGATGTTGATCTGACCGTAGTGGTAAGATCCTTGTGGATTAGGTCTAGCTGCACTTGCTGTCAAATTCCAACGGAATGAGCGGAACTGGTTAAGTGACCAAGCCCAACCAATTGGCGCCTTTGGCAATTCTAATGAGGCCGGGGCGCCTTTGCCATTGGCATAACGGATAGTGGCGGTAGCAGTGTGTGGTTCCTTTGTGAATCGTGTGGAGGCCACGAGGAAGTAATCCTTAGGTTCTTTATCAGCTGTTACCAGAACAGACATACACTGTCCGAGGTGAACGTCAAGTGAATCGTACATGTTTTGTACGGTGTGAGATCCTTCGATCTCAACTAATTTCATGACGTGTCCTTGGATTCTAACGTTGATAGAATCCTTCATGCCAACGTTACAGAACCTGTACCTGTACGTCTTTCCAGGGGTCATAGTGAACATTGGCTCGTCCTTGTTATCGCCTTTGCCACTTTTGCCATTGATGATGACTCCGTTGGGCCTTCCCAGGGCGCGCCCACTGTCCAAAAGCTTCCTCAATTGGGAATGACTTTTGGTGTACCAATCACTTACAAGGACGAAGAATTCGTCTGCAGGGTTAACATCAAAGGGTACAGGAATCAATGCACGACTATGGACACTTATCCCACCATACCCACCCGCTGCTCGATGCAGAGCTGTGGTTGGGTAATAATAAAAGCTTCCAATTTGATCCTTGACCTGGAATTGGTACGTGAAATTGCTCCCGGGAGGAATGGGACAATTAGTGCCAAGGGTACCTTCTTGCCACGAATTCTTCCTCTGTTGGACGCCGTTCCATGTAAAAAGGAACGGCTCGTCCAACTGATTGAAGACATTGACAACAATATTATTGTTGGAGGTACCATTAATTATAGGTCCTGGAAATTGGCCATTGATCAAAATAACTTGTTGGGGTACACCAAGGGGAGAGATGGTGCCATAAGTGACTTTCCATTCAAAAAACAAAAAAGGATCTCCTCCTTTTACTAGTGTTGTTGAAAGACACAATGCTAGCAACACAAGAACAAATCTCAACTTTTCCATATTCTATTTTCGTTTTTTTCTTTTTTTTTTCTTTGTTTGGTTTTAATGAAAACAATAGAAGAGTTTTCTATTGACAAAAAGGACAATCAAAGAAATGATTGTGCATTATGTTGAGAGGGACTGCCCTTTTATTTATGTTAGTTGTGGTATTTAGAGGTTGTTTGGGATTGGTGATTGATGGCCAGACAAAAATAGCCGTGAATATTTCATGAATTGTCCGCAAGCGTCGTTTGCTCATGGTATTCGCAATTGCTTCCTTCTTGCGGTTTTCCTTTGTCGTCCTTAACCCCCATAGACGAACCTATTAAATATTAAATTTATCCTTAAAATTTAACTTACAAAATGTTATTACGTATAACAACAAAACTTTATAAAATTATACTACTTATTTTCGAAGAAAAATATTAAATCGTTCTTTTTAGATGGTTTACAAGAAACTTAAGATTGTATTCTTCGTTCGACCAAAACTCGTCTTTTTTTTTAGGCAAATTAAGCTATTTTATAAATAATAAAAGAGAAAAGAAACCACAATGGAAAAGTACAAGTAAGAGGGCTAGCTACAGTTGTGTTGCCTCTATGCCTTGGTTATATAATCACTCCTTTGCGCCTCCATTGCCTTAAGATGGCTGCCTCATGTAGAGGATCATGGTATAGTTGCCGACAGAAGTCTCACGAGGGCATATAATCTCATAGCCGGTTGGATCTTCCCAAAACTCGTCTTAGTGACTATAAGAGCATTTTTTTGGCAATTAAAACAATATTATTAATCACCAGCAATCTGTATAAAACAAAGGCAACCTACCAAGCCACTCTTCTCATGGCTATCCTATGCCACCAACAACCTTATCTACTAAAACATCAAAACTCCTACAAAGAACAAATAAACTTGTTTACCTTTAAAATGAGTAACAATTAAATTTTTACGCAGTTTAAAAGATATATGATTTAATTTAACATGAATAATCTAAGAACAACAAATAATTAAATTAAAGAGAAACAAAACGATCAAACCAAACATGATGGAACTAAGCCTGACTTTAAGTTGAACGCTGAAACTGGTTCTGATCGAGCCCTCGAGATGGGCTCGGTTACAACTAAAGAAATGAGCAACTGAAGAACACTTTGAACTATAGCTTGAAGACAAAAATAAATTTTATTGCTTTGATATGCGTGCCAATAGTGGGTGAAAAATGAAAAGGTTCTCCCCTTTATATAGTAGAGGAGTTTCAATCCTAGTACAAATCTAAATAAGGTAGAAATCCTTCTCTTCTAGTAATCTATGATCCGCAACTGATATCGTGCGAGATTTATGCCGTAATATTCGGTTGATGGTTGATATTTCGGCCCTTCGCTCGTTCTCTCTAACCGTCTTACCTTAAGCCTTGATTCTTTGTCTTGCTCAAGCTCGATCCCTTTCATGTTTGGCCATGTCTGAATCTTGGTGCGTCACTTGTCCCCCCGGGCTTTGATCTGGGGAACCCTCGGCTTTACCCGAGCCTGCGATGAACCACGTCGTTTCCTGTTTCTTCATCGGGAAATCAGGGATGACCTTATCCCCGATATTACTCGTACACAGATAGTCCCCTCACTTTTCGGAGAGTAGATTTATAGAAACGACGTGAAGTGATTAATTGACTCCGGCTCCTTCTTCCGTACGCCACAAGCGAGTTGACAAGTCCCCAAAACGTCCCATCAGTCGCGTCGTTCTGACTTCAGATACGTGTCAGCCGCTAGTTGACCATCCTCGGTAAGTACCGAATGCGAAACGTTACGCATTTATTATTTCTTTCCTATAAAATCTCCGGTTTCCTTTTTTTACTTTTTTACTTTCGGATTTCGAATATTCTTG